ACATTTAGTTTATTGCTTATGTCATTTTGACTTTTTCGGTATGACTTTTTCGGTATTATGAATAGCGACCCTCTCGTCGCATTATGAATAGCGACCCTCTTCTCGTGTTAAGAATAGCGACCCTTATGAGTAATGAACCTCTTCTTGTATTATGGATAGCGACCCTGATTTCATATTATGAATAGCGACCCTTATGAGTAACGAACCTTATTTTCTATTATGAATAGCGACCCTCATCTCACGTTATGAATAGCGGTCCTTATGATTAACGAACCTTATTTCTTTATGAATAGTGACCCTCTTTTACCATTATGAATAGCAGACCTGCAGGTATGGGAAGTTCCACATTATGAATAGCGGTCCTTATGAATAACGGTCCTTATGAACAGCGAATGGATCCCATTATACCAATGTCAGAAAATGGTGTATGTTCACTTTGAGGTTTCCCTTTGTAGGTACCCCTTTCCCCAGAAGTGCCCTTTTTTGTGGGTGCCCCCCCCCTCACTTAGGAAGCGCTATGCCGCCCCTGACTACAATAAAAACTCATAACCACTCATGCGTGACCTAGGACCTAGGTGCATCAATTTGAAAATACACATTGAATTTATGTTCATACATGATTGGGTTGAACAATCATTCAAGTTTATTAAATTCACATCATACATCGATCATCAGACTAAGTTTACAATATCTATCTTTATCCTCTACAAGAATACAAGCTGAAGCTGTTGTTATAAAACAACTGTAAATGTGTATGGTACAAGTATAAAATGTTTACAAAAGATAATACAATATGATTACAAAATAAGGTGATCTGTGATGTGCATCACAATATTGTTCATTCCTTTTCCTACTCCAGGTACCAATTAACGTGACCTGGGTCGAGTGTGGAGAATGTTGATTGCTGTCTTCCCAAAGGACATTAGTTCTGTGACAGGGAACCATCTACCTTATGATTCACAGTTGACAGATTCATCCAGTGGACCCCAACACCCCTAATTTCAATATGTGTCAAGTGAAAGTTGATTGAAATGTTTTTGAGAGTTGCTGTGGTCCAGTGGATAAACATCTAGACTGTGAACCACAAAGTATGGGGTTCGCGTCCCTGTTGCAGCACTAATAATGTCCTTTGACAAGACATTAATCTACATTTGCCCCACTCCACCCAGGTAAGGTAGCCAGGCCGAAATTAATTTTTGAACTCTTATTGTCACCACATACATATTTCTTGATAGAACAATGGGTGATTGCAAAATTAAAGTCTGTTCATGTCTTATTTAGTCTGTCACATACATGTGATATTGGCAGCTGTGCTTACGCCAGGGTGCTAGAGTGATCCGTGGCAGACCTGCGCGCTATACAATATCTATTATCATTACCATTATTACTATTATCATTATTATTATTATTATTATCATTATCATTATTATTATTTTTGTTTAAATAATCATATTATTATCATTAATAGTGGAGTCTTGTATAGCAATTTTGCCACTCCTGAAACTCCATTATTATTACCCTGGCTTTCGCACAGCTGTCATTAGTATACATTATTACTATTGCCATTATTGTTAACTTAAGTGTCACGATTTGATAACAACTTTCTTTAATAGTACCAAAATACATAAACTTCTATCCTATAAATTCTGAAAGATTGTAGTATAACATATTCACTTTTCTCATAAAAAATATTTTATATTTCAGCTCTGTAAATAATTTTTTAAAATAAAATACATGTAGTTTAAGAAATGATACATTTAGACGTTCATCCCACTAATGCTTGTTTGCAGCATTCCTAAACAAGGAATATGTCAAGCCTTTACATATTTAGTACAGTCATATAGTGAAAAAATAGGCATTAACCTCCCACTAATTGCTACATAAAAAATGAATTGTTATAGTATCATAAATATGCACTGAATAACATTTACAAAGTACTAAGGAATCCAAGGGGTGGAAAGTGTTGTAAAGTACTTACAGGAACATAAAACTCAACAAACATTAGCTAATAATCCTATTCAAACATTTTCAGCCAGTTAAACAAAACCTTAAAATTACTTGCATTTCATTATTTAGCAAGGACAACAGTATTTCCAAAATGTGCAATAGGGTCACCATTTTGATTAATATAGTGATGTCAGAGGAGTATTTAATTGTGAGGTACCAACTGACCTGTATTTTAGCTACAATTTAGGACACATATGCCTGTCAAATGCAGGTTTCGATAGACCATAATAATAATAATTACAGTGCTTATATAGCGCCTAACACTTACTTTGTCAGAAGTCTCTAAGCGCTCTACAATAATGCAGCATAATGATAATGCATTCAGATAAATGGATATTCTTTCACCATATATGGTGACAAGATTCAGCTGTTTGGAGCTATTGATCAGTTTCTTTTGTTAAGCAATATTTGGCATACATAGGTTGTTACTCGGTAAGACAAAGCTCCATAGCCAATCATTACCATAAGTATCACCATATCTATCCTAAGCAGTTCAATGGGTATGATAATTGATTGGAGAATAGCTAGAAAGGAAACTGCAAACTTTATTTTTCTTTCTAACTAAACCAATAGGAGTAATTTCAAGCTACATGTAGTTTTAACTAACCGACAATTTTGAATAAGACTATCAGCTAATGTTTGTTAAGTTTCATTTTCCTTTAAAATCTGTGATAATTATTTTCCATATTTCATAAGCTTTAACAGAGCCAACTATACATATAGATTGGTCAACTCTGCATCAGTTGGACACACTCAAATGCACATGCTTTGTTGTATGCTTGCCTAACAAAGCAGTATTTTCCATGGCGCAACTTCCACAAACTTTGTTTATACAGCTCTGAGCAATAACTTACATGGACACCGGCCTCTTATGAATGCAAATAAATTAAGGTTTAAATACAGTAGCGATGTAACATGTACTAAGTGGTAAAATAAATAAGGTTTCTAATTAAAGAAGAAAGAGAGAAACAGTGAGTTTATAGTGAGAGGGGAAGATAAAGAGAGAGAGAGAGAGAGAAAGAGAAGAAAATAAGAGGCAAGTGGGGCAAACTTAGTAGAGTAAAAATGTAGTACAAGGATTTAATTCTCCGGCAAAAGAGAACAAAAATATAATATGATGTACACAAATATAATAATCCATCTGGAATGCTCCCCAAGGAGAGGAGAATGTGCATACATTGTGTGAGGGATCTGTTAAATATGTTGACCAGGGTAATAATATATCTGTAAAGAGCTAAAAGACATCTTCAATGTATATATCAAGCCAGAATACTATTATCATTATATTATGCATCGACACATGATTGGAAAACAAAAAAAGCAACATATTATAAACATATAAACCATACATTTACCATATAATCCTTGCATGATATATAATTCTGCATTATTATACTATATTATAATTGCATAATTATACTATATAAATTGCATAATTATATTACTTCAAAATTGTCATTCACCTAATTCCCAATAGCACACTTTAATATTGTCTTGTTACTGCTATTGGCACAACAGTTCTTAAAAACTGGATATATCATGAATATGAATAATTAGATTGTCAATCAAACCAGCCAAAATAGTATGCATGCATATATATTCCCATTGCACACAAAAAAGATAAATGCAACTGGTTCCTGCCTCTGGTGATGTGTATGTTTATTGATGATTGATTTTATGACCTTTAACATCTGACCTCATGAACACAAACTCATTTAATCTTTTCATGCTCATTCATATTTTGACCAAATTTGGTTTGCATTTGTTTCACGCTTTTCAAGTTATTGTGGTAAAAGGCTATTTTCTGGTAGTTGTTGACAATTTGATGATCATGTGACCTTTGACCTCTTACATTAAAAATCTAATCGGTTCGTCTTTCTATGCTCATACATACATGTTCTTGATCACAGTCTGATTAAAATCTGCTGATCATAAAAGTATCGCAGTAGCGATAAGAGGAATGAATTTACGGACGAACGACAAGAAAACAGAAAACACAATGCCTCCAGCACCACCTTGGGCAGAGGACAAAAAACAAAAAACAAACAAACCTAAAACAATAACGATAAATTAAATCACAGAAACTACTATACTATACATATACTTTTTTCTCCATTGTTAGACATAAAAAAAAACTTTCAGGTACATGTACATTAAGCAGCATTATGTACATTAGCAGGTAATTATTTCAGCCTTGATGATGAACATACATGAGAGGGCAACCAAAGTTCATGCACATTAAACAAAATAAAAATATGATATTTTATCAATGATTTTTTGTAGTTCACATAAATTCAATAAGATAAATTACTACCAAATAGACAGCAAAATATTTACACTAAAAATGGGCGCAACTAGAAAAATTTATTGTCTAACGACAATCCAGCGATATCACAATCTCAAAATTCCCTGTCGAACCGGAATGAGCTACAAGTAAAGAATAAGTTATGCATGAGAGTTTACAAGTGATTTATGATAAAAAGCAATTCGTCAAAGGTAAGATAATTGCATAAATGTAAGGCAAAATTTCTTTCTATTTACAGTTTTGATTACATCGTCTTTTAAAATACAGATTTCCAGACCCTTGTTGGCAAGTTCATAATTTTGCAGAACGGACACAAAAGACTGAATCATTTGCCGATCTCTTGACTTTTTTAAATCATAATTTCGCAACCGATTACATAGGAAATTTTGTTAGTAGTTAATTTTATGTTTCTATTTCCATTGGTGGTATCAGATTTTTCAAAATCTTACCGATATTTACTAGAATGGAACTGTGTGCGAAGCAAGGTCATGAGCGAACTATGGTCACACCACCATAAAATAAGGATTAACAAGGTATGTTCCAATACCGTTTGGAATTTTAACTATGTAAAAAAAAAAGGTGACATGATAGGGTTAGGATTAATCGACCTTCAAAGAGTTTGACCAGCAAACCGTTAATGCATTCTCAAATATTTCTGTAAGATACCACCAATGCATTCTCCAATATATGTGTCCAAAGAGATTCAGCTGTTTTCTGAGTGTAAGACAGCGACAAATTATTCTTGTGCACATGATTTGTAATATTCACACTTGTTACTAAACCCTAGCAGAGCCGACAGCTTCACAAATATAGACATGTAAATGTATCACCAGTTATTAAAAGTGTTGTCAGACAATCAAGACGCTTCTTTCATTGATCATCTGCATATAAACCAAGTGCTCTGACAAAGAATTTCATATACATATCATGAACCAATTTTAGATTTCAAGACCAAAAAAGCACACTATTGGATACATTTAATTTTGATCCGTGTAAACCATCTTTGGCACTGAACGGGTTAAGAGCTCATAACTATATTTTTTCTATTACAGTTGATTTTCATCCTAGGGGGCTAAATAGCAGTTTCCAGCACTGCCTGACATCAATTAATCTATGATTGTTCAGATGCAACATACAGGTACATATATCATTGTTTGTAGTCCATCTTGAAGTACATTTTCTTGTTCCATGGAAATACATGTACTGTTATAGTTCTTGGCAAGTCTGTCTATGCTGTGACTGGCCACTCAACTGCTCATTACTGACCTCTTACTGCTGTCAATCATTATATAGTCATCTCATTTCCCATTCGGTGGACAATAGGTTAAGTAAGGGCCCTTGTCGAGGTTAACCAGTAGGTTTAGCGACTATAGCGTTAACATGTTTCCCCCGTTACTGAGCAGGTCGAGAAGCACTTGGGCTCTGTATTAATGGACGTCTGATCCATTGGTCAGATTAGTCTTGGATAGGAGACCATCATGATGACCATTCGCAAGATCCACTGATGACCTGCTGCTGTTGAAGAAAGAAACATGGCAGATATTCTAGAATGAAACCCTTTAACAGAAAGTAAACAAATTCATTCCTCTACCTCAAAACTATAATTCTAGGTTATTAATTCATAAAAGAAATCTAGAAGAGAACCCAAATCAATCAAGCTTCCTACCCTTCCCCACTCAGAAAAAAAAAAAATTGGCTATAATTTTTTGCCCTTAGACTAAATTTTCATTACAACTGCCTTGCTGCTCTAGCTAACAGAGTATGTGCATCATTAGAGACCAAGAGCTGTTTTATATTCCAATTTTTAAATTTACTTTATTAAGAGTGTCACACATTATGAAACATGCACAAGCATCACAAGAAGCAAGAAATGAATTCATGTGCTGTGCAGATTATACATTATTGAATGGAAAACTCAATATAAAATAAAATTTTCAGATAGAAATTAAACACTTAAAACTGGCATCATACATTTTACATGTACATATATAGATACATTCCCATCCTTTCCCTTAAATATTAACATTGTTTTTCAGCAATAAATAACACATGAATTGTACATTGCATATGTATGGATAAGTTCATAAAATTGTCTTCTAAATTATTTAACATTGGAAACGTCGAGCCCCTCCTACCTCCCATCCTCTCCTCACTACAACCCATACCGGTGCTATAGTTCTCTTAAGAACTATAAGCTCAAGAGAGATTACACTGGTCCTTCTAGGACTACCGCAGTCTTTTTCAGGACTCCCCAATCCTCCGTCTCTCACATGGTGCAACCGTAAACCTACTATACCAACAATGTCTATCCATAATTGTTTGTATTTTGTTGCCATTATAATAATTTGTCATGTATATCTTTTTGAGGGTAAAGTGTTACTTACCTGACTGAGTTACCCATGCCACTGCTAAGAGATGTCTTGATGGATGGCTGAGGGTAGCCACCATAGCTAGGTACCCCACCTATTGAGCGGTTGATCTCCTGCATGAAGCAAATATGGATGGGAATTATGAGAAGACTCCTTTATATCAGACAAAGCTACTTATATCTACAGCAAATTTGATATAAAGGTAAGAGTTTGTGTATAAAAGATACTAGGCAAATACAAGTATTGTCTCGCCTGCACCTCGTAATGCAGGTGAGAAAGCAATACACATACATGTACATGTACGACAACTATGCCATTTCAGGCTTTCAACAGTTTAGGCAGTGAATTTTGGTTCTGGCTGTTTACACTACCGGTAAGCACAATCTTGCATAGACTTTATATTCCTGGACAATGAGAAAACTGAATGCTGTTAATAATATCTCAAACTTTACTCTTAGTGAGGAAACAAAAAAAAGTACTGAAACATGGAACACGTCAGGGATGCCTTCTGTCTCCTCTTCTCTTCTGCCGTGACCCCAAATCTTCTTGTGATTGTTCATTCCTCATATATAAGTAAAGGTGAATATGAGGTTTGATGAAACTGTAGTGGATCATCTTTGAGATATTTATCTAAGATAGCCTTGTACTTTTGACCTCGTCATCAAAAGGTACATACAGGTTAAATGGAGATATTAACACCAACCTACACATTTAGTTTTGTTCTTTGTAGTGTTTGCTCACACTTGAAGCATGCATGTATTTTACATTAACATCTCATTCTGTTTTGAGCCACAGAGATAGTCGGCCCAAATCCCTGTATTTGCGTCATAGGTCAGGTCCCTTAGACCCATCCGATGTGAATGTGAATGTGAATGTGAATGTGAATGTGAATGTGAAGGTTGATGTGAATGTGAATGTGAATGTGAATGTGAATGTGAATGTGAATGTTGATGCAAAGGCATCATTATTGGTTCTTCAGATTGGTTCTTCAGATTCACATACAAACTGTTACTGGTACATAGGTTTAAGCCCTTCTGATTCTCATCAGATGATAAGTTCAGTCTGACTTTGAAATAAATGATTTATAAACTAGAAATTTAATTTGTCATGGGGACGAATTAGGTGGTCTGTCTTCAATTCCTATGTTCATGCTCATCTTTTATTCAATATTTACTATATTGAAAAAGGAAGAAGTTATATAGACATGTAAACAATGATGATCATGATCATGATCATGATGATGATGATCTTGATAGTAATGGTGATGACGATGATGGTGATCATGGTGATATTGATGATCATTATCAACAGACCATTGATGACATCTGATTGAAAAAATGAGGAGACATTTAGATAGCGTATAGTCTCAGCTACAACATACTCAAAAATCAACAAAAATCAAGCTGAAATAACGGCGATATTGCTCGCAAAAGACATGAATGTAGAATCCAGATTTGAGAAAAAGTCATCTCCCTTAAGGATTACACGCAAAAAGTAATGGATCAAGTGATAATAGGGTAATAATAAAGTAAATATGGTTGCTTTTTACATTATTTGCGATTCTGCGTGTTTTAATATTCAAAGGAGATGGTACAGTGAAAGGTCAAAAAGAAAAAAAAAAGTGAAGAAAAAAAATTGTTGGAGACGCCCAGACTCGAACCAGGGACCTCGAGGTCGGAAGTCAAGTGCGTTACCGATATACCAAAACATTTCCCATAGAGATTACACGTAAACGGAAAATGGAATTATCAAATCCCACTTTGCAATTGAAATATGAGCATGATCCCGGCATCTGATCGAAAAATAAAGGGCACACTTATGATAGCTTATTGTCTCAGCTACAACATACCCAAAGTTCAGAGAAAACGAAGCTAAAACGACGGAGATATTGTTCGCAAAAGACAGCATGTAGAATCCAGTTTTGAGAAAAAGTCATGTCCCATAGAGAATACACGCAAAATGTGAAAAATTGACATGCCACCTTTAATCGCAAAAATACGCCATGATACTTTTGCCAAAATAAAATATTGTGGTGACTGCATTTGTAGAGAATTGTCTAAGGTAGATCATATCAAAATTTGGAAGAAAATCGATCAATATTTACAGAGATACAGTCAATTTTCAAGAAATATGCTGACGTCATAATATGCAAATTGAAATTTTGAGTTGGGAGGCCATTATGATGACGTCATGAGTTAATTGAGGGTCAAATGAGACATGAAATCATATCTCCAATTCATACTCTATCAAAATATGGAAAAAAAATTGGGTTCACCTTCCATCCTAAAGCGCTAAAAAGGATTTTGTATAGGCATGTTTTTGCCCATGTATGCTATGTATTACTAGAGCTCGCACGCACGGAAATTATCTTACACGGACGCTCATTCCGTTATTAATGGTCAGAAAAAGGTGAACAAGGTATCAAAATGCTTGAAAAAATGCGCCAAATATGATGACAGAGAAAAATTGGCGATTTTATGTTGAAAAATACCAGTACGCGCGAAAACGCGCGCATGCGCGTTTTTTTGCAAAATGCTTAAAATGGCCTGAAACGTATGCAAAATTAATTTGATATGATTTTGAGCATTTTGAAATTTTGCGCGCGCACTTACGCGCGGACGTACGCATGCGCGCGCGTTTTTTGACCTGAAATTGACCGGACTGATATTGACCTTGATCCTGATAAATATGAATAAGAAATGCCTTTCCGTTATGAGATATGATCATGAGTTGAAAGTGCCAAAAGTGCCACAAAATGGCGCCTGGATGACGTCATGAAGACTTGATGACCTTGAAAATGTTCCTCTCACGTCTTATGGCAATGACCTATGACTGTGCCAAAAGTGAACGAAATTGACTGAACTGATCTTGAGTTATCCTGCTAACAAAAAAGTGTGCAAATAAATAAAAATAAAGAATAATAATAAAAATAATAATAAAGAAAGAAAATTCTGACGAAAACAATAGGTGATCTGTCATCGACAGACCACCTAATAAACATAAAATGAGAGAAATGGTAAGACACTAAAAAGCTGAACCTACATCCTTCTGCTTCTCCAGCCTGTACTCTCTGACCAGCTTCTCTAGGGCCATCCTCTGCTTGGACAGTGTATCAATGCGCTCCTGAAGCATACCATTCTCTCTCTCTAGGAACTTGATCCTATAATCCTGGGTACCGATTCCATGGCTCTGGTCTCTTACCATCTCTTCCAACTCAGTGAACCTGCAAGGATAGGACAGGTACACAGACAAGGTCATGCAAATTAACAATAGCAATAACAACGACAATGACAGTTACAATAGCAATAGCAATAATAATAATAATAAATAATATGGATATTTATATAGCGCCGGTATCCACCAGCCTCTGACGCTCATGGCTCTGTACATATTACAATCACAAACATATCACTTTCGTAACTAAAATGAAAGTAAACTAAAACAACACAAATTATTACGCTACATTGAAATGATTAAATAGCACTGTTTAGAAAGAGATGGGTTTTTAGAGCAACTTTGAAGTCATGAAGGGCAGTTAAATTATGAATACTAAGTGGCAGCTTATTCCAAAGGGACGGACCAGAATGAGAAAAGGCTCTATCCCCCCCCCCCAAGAACTGCGCGTCAATGTACTTGAAAATGACAACTGAAATGATGATGACCCGTCTGCGACAATCCCTGCAGGATCTAACATATCAAGAATCATGTGGAAAGGTATTGGGAGATACAATAGACTTTGAGTGCAGGCAGGCAGGGCCCTCGGACCATGGACCATCCATTTACCACTGTGACATGCTGACAGAAACATGCTTTGGAAGGGACCTGGCTAGATATTGGGAAGTAGTTAACAGGAAATGATGATGATGGTAGATGACTTACTTGGTTAGATGTTCCCTGTGTTCTGCAAGTAAGGTTTGGTGTTTATTGTCCATAGTAGAGTGGGAATGGTTTGTCGCTGCCAGTTCAGATCTTGCTGCTTTCAATTCTTCCTGTAACTTCATCAGACTATCACCCAGCATGCCTTTCTGCTTGGCAAACAAATCCCTACAAATCAGAAAGAAGAAATGGGCTCCACAATAATAAAATTAACAAAATTATGAAATTTCACAAGAAAAATAAATTCCATGAATCTTTTTGTAGTTCTATATTAATTTGTACTGAAAAAGTACAAAACATAGCAAATGTACATACATCTGTACAAATTGAATAAGTACTTTTCATCTGGAATAAAATTCCTTCATTTAACATCACTTCGCCTGGTGAATTGCTGTTTGGTCTACAACCACTTCATTTACTACCCAACTGGTCTATTCCCATTTGGTCTACACTAGACCGTCTACTACCCAACTGGTCTATTCCCATTTGGTCTACACTAGACCGTCTACTACCCAACTGGTCTATTCCCATTTGGTCTACACTAGACCGTCTACTACCCAACTGGTCTATTCCCATATGGTCTACACTAGACCGTCTACTACCCAACTGGTCTATTCCCATATGGTCTACACTAGACCGTCTACTACCCAACTGGTCTATTCCCATATGGTCTACACTAGACCGTCTACTACCCAACTGGTCTATTCCCATATGGTCTACACTAGACCGTCTACTACCCAACTGGTCTATTCCCATATGGTCTACACTAGACCGTCTACTACCCAACTGGTCTATTCCCATTTGGTCTACACTAGACCGTCTACTACCCAACTGGTCTATTCCCATTTGGTCTACACTAGACCGTCTACTACCCAACTGGTCTATTCCCATATGGTCTACACTAGACCGTCTACTACCCAACTAGTCTATTCCCATATGGTCTACACTAGACCGTCTACTACCCATGTGGTCTATTAATCCCCTACTGATCATTTGGTCTAATTTCCGTTTGGTCTATAATCTCCATTAAGTCTACTACCCATTTGGTCTATTGTTCATTTAGTCTGTTTCCCAGTTTGTCTAATGCCCATTTTGTCTACTATCCACATGGTCTAATAATCATGGAATCATAAGTAATTATAATCATCACATTATTATGAAACCTTGTGCACAGTAGACGAAATGGGCATTGGACAAACTGGGAAATAGACCGTCTGAAACCAAAGGGCTTCACCTCACCTAATTGTAACAAAATATAAACATCCTGATATTCTTACTTAAAGTGAACATTTACAGACTTTTTTTGCTTTTGAAGTAGTGCTCCATTAATTTGATGAATGCAAAGTATCATTATCCTGCTTTTCTAAACACAAGTTCGTCTATATAACTAGCCTTTACACTTTGATCTTTGTATTGCTCTTAATTGTTGGTACAGTACAGTACAAAGCCTAAGGGCCTCTCTTCTTTCTGCTATTCCTGAGACCACTTTCAGGTTGTCACATTTACTTGTCCAAAATACATATTATGTTACCTTGCTTGTTGCATCTTAATCTTGGTATTGTTTTTGTGGTCCTGGTACTTTCGTATCTGAGCATCTAGCTGGGCTGAGATACGGGCTAGTTCTTGGCTCAGGTTATCCCTCTCTGCTTGGAGGTTGCCAACTTGCTGAAGCAGCGATGATCTGCTCTGCTCTGACATGTTATGCTGCAAAGAAGTAACAGGGCTGTTCTTTATAAAGTGAAACAAATTGGTCACGAATGTGAATACCCTTCTTCTGATGGTGGTAACATTACTATCTATACATCCAAATTGAGAGATTTCTGCTACAAGATATAAAGTACTGACAAATTACACAGAATTTTTTTTAGGATTTTGGTCACATGTGACTGAGAATGGCCAAACATTAATTTCTTGTCTTAATTTGGGAAGTGATGCCAATCTATCAAAGAATATTACAGAACAGTTAGGGGAAGAAAATCAAATCAATTCTATTCATGTTTTGAAATTCGGATGTCAAATTGAAAAGAAGACGTCAAAGGAAATTTGAAAAAACATGTAAAAACAAAAAGAGTAGAAATCATTCCACAATTCCAGTTTCTTATTTCACTTCTGCCCTTAACTGTTAAGGAGATGGATGGAACTATTCTTGAAATATCATGATGAACACAAAAAGCCTATAATTACATGTCAACTATAATCTTTGACCTTTGATCGGATCGTCTTCCTATGGTGATACATATTGTCACCAGGTTTGAAGTTCATGAACCTCAGGTGGTTCTTGAGATTACGCAATAACTTTTGTATGAACTGTCACATAAAATTTAAACTGGTGTATAAAAACTGAAAGGTGTAAAAAGTGAAATTCTACATATCTTTCTTTAATACCAACACAAACCAAGTTTTAGGTTTGTACAAAGTGAATAATGCGCAATGTATACCCTTGTCTCATATGTAGAAATCAGTGCACCTATTTAGAATAACTAGATACAGCTTCAATGGTCATGGTTGAGGCCAGTTTACAAACATAAACAATTCAGGTCTATTACTATCATCATTACATGTACCTTATCATTGACACTCCTACTAGTATCTTCAGCATGATAGAGTTTGGATTGGATTCCTATGAGCTGATCCTTCAGGTCCTGGTTCTCTTACCTTATCATTGACACTCCTACTAGTATCTTCTGCATGATAGAGTTTGGATTGGATTCCTATGAGCTGATCTTTCAGGTCCTGGTTCTCTTACCTTATCATTGACACTCCTACTAGTATCTTCTGCATGATAGAGTTTGGATTGGATTCCTATGAGCTGATCTTTCAGGTCCTGGTTCTCTTACCTTATCATTGACACTCCTACTAGTATCTTCTGCATGATAGAGTTTGGATTGGATTCCTATAAGCTGATCTTTCAGGTCCTGGTTCTCTTACCTTATCATTGACACTCCTACTAGTATCCTCTGCATGATAGAGTTTGGATTGGATTCCTATAAGCTGATCTTTCAGGTCCTGGTTCTCTTACCTTATCATTGACACTCCTACTAGTATCTTCTGCATGATAGAGTTTGGATTGGATTCCTATAAGCTGATCTTTCAGGTCCTGGTTCTCTTACCTTATCATTGACACTCCTACTATCTTCTGCCTGATAGAGTTTGGATTGGATTCCTATGAGCTGATCTTTCAGGTCCTGGTTCTCTTACCTTATCATTGACACTCCTACTAGTATCCTCTGCATGATAGAGTTTGGATTGGATTCCTATGAGCTGATCTTTCAGGTCCTGGTTCTCTTTCCTTAGCTGGTCTTCTATGTCTCTGGATGCCTTGCACTGCTGGCGTAAATCATCTATCTGCTGAGTCATCACAGATCTAAGTAAAATGAGGATCATTACCCAATATCATTAGAACAGTCAATTTCATCTTTTGATCTCCATATGGAACAATCATGGGAGTGATGGATGATGGAGATAAGGAAATACTATGATAGTGGTGTCTACTTCGGTGTCAACTCTTTGTTATGGTCATCGCTCTTTTTGGAAAAAACTACTGACTAACTGACTGTTAACCAATCAAAACTTATTAGACATATTTGTGGCTACACCCAGTAAATAAGAAAAATTCAAAACTTGTGTTAAGAGACATTTATTCAAAATTGTTTTTGATGACTCTGTTCACATTAATGTATATGTAATTTGTAGGTTTATTTGGATTTTCTTTTTGTTTTGTTTAATATGTAATTGTTTATCAAATCATTGTATTTTGTTTGTTATAGCGCTTAGAGACTTTGATGGTAAGCGCTTTATAAGCACCGTTTTTATCATCATTATTATGATAGGGATATAGGATGATGGTAGTGGTGGTAGTAGTAATGATATACCATCATTGTTTATCCCTATCTCCATCATCCATAATTACCTAGCTCTGTCCAATATCATTGGCAATACATGTAGCCCTCACTCTGTCATCACAATTAATCACCATTGGTCATTACAAATAATCATAATCATTTGTCACAAATAAATGTACAATTCTCATCACTGCCAGAGGGATGCATATCATCAAACATCATCACTACATTTCGTAAGCTAAATTTGTATGTAAAGTACTGACTTACCTTTGTAACTTATCATCTTGGATCTGTGATTTCAGTCTTACAGCCTCATCATGTCTGTCCTGGAGTTGCACCTTGAGTGCGCCAAAGTCTTTAAGATGCACTTCAGTAGCTTGCAGTCTTAGTGATGTTTGGTCCAGTTCGGTTTGGAGCTCTGGAATCTGAAGAAAGCGAGTATTGAGATGGTCAGGTACTGATTCAGAGGAACACTTGAACCTTATAAATACTCACAGTATGCTCTTACCCACCTTATACACATTGACCACATTTTACATCTTATGTTTTTAATTTTCAAACATTGACAGGAATGTTGACTAGGGTTCAAATTTCAAGAAAAAGTAGTGGCCGAGCATAAACTTCTTTGTTTACTGGTAATTGGTAGAAACTAGGCATCAAGTATAGAAACTTAGAAAGAGTGAATTTCCACAATCAATTATCAATTTCAAATTGGAGTTTCCAGGTCAATGTGACAGTAATTTTGTTTATTCTTCCTTTCATTTTCTAATGCTTATTATAGAAACATCTCATCATAAAAAAATTGGCAATTTAAACAATTTTCAACATTGCTAAATATATTACTCATTGCGGATGTAGTATTAAAAATAATATCGCTAGTGATATTTGTTTGTCTCGCAATGTATGGTCAACAAGGGATCTAAAAGAATTTTCAAAATGTTTTCCATAGTTATACATGCATTTGGGGATTTGAAATGTGATAAGAATATGAATGCGTATGTCAAAATATCAGTACAGCCATGAGGGCTAAGATTTTTTTTTCCAGATCCAAAAAATCAAGGTACTTTTTAACATGCCGTGACGATGTGAAATGAAATATCTAATTCTGAGGAAGTAAACTTCCATTTCTCCAAAATTACATCTTTTACTACATACTATCAACATCATGCATAATTGACAGTAGAGGTGTGGGCCACAGGGGATGGCCACAAATGGGGTCCAATGCTTAGTTAATTTGTAGTGTGACTTTATGCAACTTTGGATTTTTTTCTTTTTATAAACATGTATGTATTTATCAATGTTTTGCGTTTAAAAGTGATTTTTGTATTACTGAATCAGTTATCGTTATTGTTGTTGTTTTTTTCTCATAAAATAATAATTCATAATAATTACTTTTACAGGGGGGCTTACACCCTATAAGCTCTGCTTTTTAGTCGGCCCTCCTTCCCTTTCAATTTCATGTATAATTTGTTAATGTATTGTATTGTGCAAATTGATCTATATGTATATAAATATGTGAATATGTTAAAATGTACCATCATTATAAATATGAACGATTGAAAGAGGAAAAATAAATGAATTGAATTGAATTGAATTGAATTGAAGACTATAATATTTCCTTAACTATTTATATATTCACACTGGAGATGAATTTGTGTATCTTATAAATTGTTTTAATGAAGTTGCAAGGTCAAATGGGGTCAGATCAACAGAAACTTGCTTGCTAATTTCATCGCTGCACACTGCCTGATGACTCAGCGCACACTATTACTACAAAACAAACACAAGCACATATAGTGAAGAGTTTAGAGCCCAAACCAAGCATTAATTATTAACCTTCCTCTCTGCAGCCTGAGCTCGCTGCTGAACTTTACTCAGGGTAGTCGTCACGGCAACTGTCTCTGCATGATGCATATCCTTTGCTGCTTCTTGGTGACGATACTGATTGGTTAACTGCGGAGGGGTCAAAATGGGTTAACCAATGAGGAATGGTGTTACATAATGATTATGCAGGGATTAACAAATGGGGAATGGTTTTTAATACATGATTTGCAATAACATGCAAGGGATTATTACATGCCAGGTTAGTAAGTATGATGGAATGTCCTGTTCTGGAAATGGTACTTTTGTTTTGTTTTGAATCCTCTAAAGAAAACTGGAGAGAAAGTGCTGTTTCTTATCAATTTGTTTTAAAATGATCAATATGAAAAATGTGCGCAAATTTGGTTTGAAGAGCTGAAGGTGTCCTTCCAGATCTTACAAATTTACAAGTTTCTATGCACAGCAAAAGTAAACAGAACTTTTAGAAAATCTGATAAATTCCTTACTTAACCATTAGGATTTTCACAAAGACGACTTCTATGGATGATTTACAATATTCTGTATTTTTGAGTGTTTATTAGACACTTGGAAAATTATTTCATTCATGCAAATATATGCCAACCTTCACCAAAACAAGAAAAAAATAATCAAACCACGTAGGCCTAGTGCTGACCAGAAATATTGAAATTGGAACTCCATCATTAAATGTATTAGACATTACCTGGTGACGTTACTTTTAATTGAGCCTTGTCATTTAATTAGTGTGAATACTGGACATGCATATAAATATTTACAGCTTAGGTATACAGGTGTTGAAGGTTATTATGATAAAGGGGGTTTGGAACGAGTTTTGATAAAAGAAGGTGATTTGGTAAAATAAATGTGTAGGGATATTAAGGTTAACGCCAGAATAGATGGTGGAAGGGGATATGTCGAAAGGGAGTTGTGGTGAAAGAGGCGACATGAAAGGGGGTGTAGTATAAGTGCATATGATGAAAAGGGTGTAGTGAGAGGTCAGTAGAATGGGGGTATGGTAGAGGGGATATGAGAAGGGAGTGGAGTAACAATGATATGATGAGAAGGATGTTAAAGTATTAAAAGTGGTGTAGTAGAGGTTGTTTGGAGAAGAAAAGTAGTGCTGGGACTTAGAGAGAAAAACCTGGACTGCAAAATCTGCAATATTTTGTTCCGGAAACTGGAGAAACAGGAGTATCTGTTAAGTTTTGATCTTCAAGTAGCGATGAAATTATGTGCGTTGTCATGCCATGCCTACTATGCTGTCAGAAGCGGAATTACGCGATAATAAAAAATATCTATCATCTGTTTCACTTGAGATCACAATTATTCCAGTTGGCCTAATGTTATTACAATGATTTTCAGATAAAGAGGTGATTCAGAATTCTAATCTATTCAACCCATGTTCCATTGTGTTGATTGACTTCCATTTCACTTATGTTTCTTAATTTTTCAAGACGGCCCAAAATAAGTTATGAGCATCGTTAGATCTTCTTCTTCTTCTTTACGTGCCATGTCCTGAGACGTTGGCGACCATGGAATGCCACAACTCTCTGTCCCATATTCTATGAAGTAATTCATTCTCCCCGATAAAGAAGTGATTTGCTATTTTTATCCTCTTACTTCCATGTCACTAACATTACAATTTCTGTAGAAAGGCTAGACATAAGTATGATCATTATACAATTAAAAAAAAAAAATCATTTTTTATTTAAATCAATTCAGCTGTTACTTGAAGGAAAAAATTTTAAAGGGCATGAAATATATTGACATCATCCGGTCAATATAGGTAACAAAATAAATGTTAGAATAAAGAAAAGTTTGCATCAGATCATGCAAGCGTTTTAACAAAGTTTTTTCCAGTTTTCACAGATTCTACTTCCAACCAGAACCAGCCAGGACATAGACCGTAAGCCTGAAGCAGAAGGCTCCTGGGCTTTGGTCTGGTTTGACTCCCAGCACTAGAAAAGGGATGTGGTAGAAAGTGGGTGTAGTGGGTGGAAGCCCGAAGCAGAAGGCTCCTGGGCTTTGGTCTGGTTTGACTCCCAGCACTAGAAAAGGGATGTGGTAGAAAGTGGGGGTGGTGGGTGGAAGCCCAAAGCAGAAGGCTCCTGGGCTTTGGTCTGGTTTGACTCCCAGCACTAGAAAAGGGATGTGGTAGAAAGTGGGTGTGGTGGGTGGAAGCACAAAGTAGAAGGCTCCTGGGCTTTGGTCTGGTTTGACTCCCAGCACTAGAAAAGGGATGTGGTAGAAAGTGGGTGTGGTGGGTGGAAGCTAGGGGCTGTGGTAAAGATACTAGGGGGTAGAGTGGGAGAAAGTGGTTAAGTTTGGGGGGGGGGGGGTAGCATATGTAGTTTTAGTTCATGATTAGATTCCCTGCTTACCCTTGTTAATTCAGACTCCAATTCATGTTTGGATTTTTCTGCCTCTGACAGCCGGTCCATCATGCCTTTCAATTGGCTCCACAGCTACAAGAGAGAGAATTCATGTACATAATATAACAATACATGTTCAACTTTTGACCTTGCATGCATACAATTCTACCACACGATTAATCAATTCTAACATTGCAATCTCTCAAACAAATAGATGTACAGTACCTAAATTTTTCCCTACAACCAGAGAAAAAGAAGAATAAAGAAAGACAATAAAATTGAAGATGATAACTGATGAGGAGAAGATGAAGTAAAGAACTAGACGACAAAATAGGAAAGGAATAAGAAGCAGAGGATGAGAGAGATATTAAAGGGAGAGAGAAATCTAAAAAAGATTAGATTAGCCAGAAAAAGATGAGGAAGATGAGGTAAAGAGGAAGGGAAAGGACAAGATTTGATAAACAAGGAAAGATGAAATGACGGATGAAATGGACTATAGGAAGACGATGGGATAAAAATAAAAAGAAAGAGATGTCAAAATACTGTGGGGATCATTACCTTGGTCATTTCTTCTTCCAACACCTTGTTCCTCGACTCCACGTCTGACCTTCGTCTTGTTTCTTCATTCACCTTTTCCCCTGTTCTGCTTTCATCCAGTGAGAGCCGTCCTACCTCTCTCCTCAGTTGGGTTATTTCCTATTTTTATCAACATAGATGTATACAATTAATCATCTTTTAAAATGAAATGATGCAATATCAGAACAACTCATTTTGTCAGCAAGAGTCTACCATCCATTAAAGGTCTTATAATCATTTAATCACAAATGATAATAATCATCAAATGATTATTAGCCCTTATGGACAGTAGACGAAATGGGCATTAGACAGACTGGCAATTAGACCGACTGGCAATTAGACAGACTGGCAATTAGACCAAATAAGTGATAGACAAAATGGGCATTAGACAGACTGGCAATTAGACCGACTGGCAATTAGACCAAATAAGTGATAAACAAAATGAGCATTAGACAGACTGGCAATTTGACCGACTGGCAATTAGACCAAATAAGTGATAGACAAAATGGGCATTAGACAGACTGGCAATTAGACCGACTGGCAATTAGACCAAATAAGTGATAGACAAAATGGGCATTAGACAGACTGGCAATTAGACCGACTGGCAATTAGACCAAATAAGTGATAGACAAAATGGGTATTAAGACTTATTGGATATTAGACCAAAAGGAAATTGGACCAAATGACTATTAGCCGAAATGGTTATTAGACCAAATGATAAGTAGACAAAATGATTACGAGACCATGTGGATAGTAGATGGGCTGGGTGTAGACCATATGGGAATAGACTAACTGGGTAGTAAATGGCAATTCACTGTCTATACAAGTAAAATGATACTTGTACATCTAAGGTAGATGGTAAAATATCAGGGAAAATGAAGCTTTAGATTTCAGGTATAGATCTTCTGAATATATTAGCATAATATTAGCAAGCAGGCATATATTGTTAGCAATGTTAACGAATTTGGTTCTCTTATACATGACCATGAGCAGATAAAATCACAAGTTATCCTCTATTTGACTTCATAAACTAACTTTAGAATAGTTGATGACTACTGAATACCACACACCCTTCTCCAAACCATTAGCTCATGCAATAAATGGTGTTACTTTCCAATGTATATTGATTGCAGACTCTGTGATGCTATTGTAACCCAAGGTCATACCTCTACATGAAGCCTGTCTATAAAGACCACCCAAGGGCAGGTAATCTTTATGTACAGGTTCCTTTAATATACATTATGTTTCAATGAGAAACCATTTTCAAGGGAAACAAAAAGTTTGCTCTTTGTAAACAGGTTGTCACTAAGACAGGTTTAACTGTATTTGCCAAAATATATGTACATCTAAGTCCACAGTATCTTGTGTCATATTATACCAATTACAATCAGACTCTAGTTTATTAAGTGATTATGTTATTAAATTGGGAGTATTAGTGTATGCCGAAATACAAAGTAAAATTGCACATTTCATATCAATCTATAATAATAATGATCTTTCTTCCTGAAATGGAAGCTTTTATTACCAATCATGTGAAAGAATATGTTTTGACTAATACATGATGATAACAATTTTGCCGGGCGGGAAACCGCCTACTAATTGATATATTTGGTAAATTAGTTTATCTATTGGTATGTGAGAGATAACCGCATGTGTCGCGCACGTGTGCGTAGTCCCATATACATCTTTCTGTGTACAGTGCTTGTAACTTTACCAAGACTGGGCCAAATTTCTGATCATTTTGATGATTCCAGAACCTTGCATTTCACATAAATACTTATATGCTAGATGATCAACCTTTTCTGATCGATTCCACAACATTTCTTTCACAATGCAATCGCATGACCATAACTGGTCTTTATCTTTAATACTAATTAACTCACTTAACTAATTCAGTCATGTCTATTAATTACCTGGTTTTTGGTACTGAGGTGTGTCTCAAGATCTTTAAGCCTCAACTCATCTCTCTCCAAGGTTTGATTCAGATTGGTCTTGTCTTTAGCTGCTAAAGCCTTTTCCATCTCTAACTCTCTCCTCACAGCTAGAAGCTCTATCTCCAATTTATTCTGATACACCAAATAAAGAAAAATCACGATGACAAAAAAAAAAAACAGTTGAACAGAAAGTATGAAAAGACCATTTTTTAATAGAGGTCATGTTAAAAATTGTTTTATTTTGTCTGTTACAATGGTTTTTAATAGTCAAAATGTGAATTGCATACGTTAATTGTTGCTAGGTAGGACAAACATCATGGATGAAAGCTAATTCACTTGCATATACCTAAATCATTTTCATGCAACGTAAATCTGTGCAAGCTTTCTGACAGTCAAAAGAAACGTTTGTATGAGAAATACCGCTTTGGAGCAGTAATATGGATCCAAACAATTGTATCAATCGATTTTCAGACAAGTCACCACGAGCCAGGCATAAAGGTATAAAAACATAGTTTTTGAATCTTTCATATTTTTTCATCATTTTGCTTTAAAAAAATTATATAGAGATAATTTCAACTAACACTGTACGCACGGAAATATGTAGTACTGATATGGTCAAACACTTTTAAATGTGTTTTTCTAGAAATGTACTGATTCACTTGCTATGGATTTGTTTGTGCCTGTCTTTAAGGGGTGTTTCACAAAGATCTCAAGTCAAACTTAACTTTAAGTTGGACTTAAAAATTATGGAGAGCCATTTGTAGTCTAAAAATAAAAATCAAGTACTTAGACTGTTTAAAAATTCCACATCAAGAACAAGAAATCTCCTTGATAATAGAAAATATGAATGATTTAAATCAACATTTCTTGCCTATTAAAATAACTTTTACAAAATATTTTTATAGATGCTAACTGCTTTCCATAATTGCTAAGTCCAACTTAGGACCTTTGTGAAACACCCCCCTGGTCAGATAACTCACTTGTCCATCTCTACTACTATCATAGTGCTTAAAGAGCTCAGCAGACCTCCTTCCTAGCTCTCCTTGAAGTGCATCTCCTGAATGCTCAGACATCTTCAGTCTGGATGCTAGGTCTGATAAGGACAAATAATCACCCCTATTGTTATAAATACTCAAGCTTGCAGTAAAATAACATATCATGTCGTAAATGAAAATCAGAGAACGATTGAGAAGTGAAGGAAACGTTCTTGTATTCAGCTGCTATAATCAATGACATACAAAGTCATTTTTCCTGGTTTATCTTCATTGCCATTGGATGCTACTCACATTAAAACTAAATACTCTTTAAATTTTTATCCTTTTACATGTATTGCAACAGGTTAAAAATAAAATTGTAAATATAAAAACAAATACCCTCGGTACAAAAATACAGAGAAGATGATTTGTACAAGGACTTTTAATAGGGCATGAAAAGCACTGGGATGGGATTCATCAAAATAAATCATGACACAACACTAGAACTAAATATATCCCTCCTTTGTTCTTTCCTCCCAGTTAACTTCACTTTGTCCATTATTTTTACTCTCCTTTCTTCTACCTGTTAAAATTTCCATTTTCCTTTCCAAAAATATATATTTTCCATGCTTAAGATGTATTGGAAGGGAGAGTGGAAGGAAGTAGACCTACAGGGAGACCCAGAATCAACTGGGAAGAGAATATCAAGAGCTGGAGTGGACTAAAACTGCAAGAGTGCACCAGAATGGTAGAAGATAGAGTGAAATGGAGAGATGTTGCAATCAACCTCCGAACCGTGAGAAGATACTTAGATAGATAGATAGATAGAAGAAGACATTGGATTCAAACCAATATCTCAAGACAGTCGATCCTTACCTCTACTTTTTCTTTTCTCAATGTCCAATTCTTGTTGCATGTACGTCTCCTTGCTTAGACTTGATTCCAGCTGTTACAACAGAAATTAATTACAGACAATGAAAATATACTCATGAATGTTCTCTTTCAAATGAAGCCTTCCATATTAAATAACAGAATTCATTATATTCAAAAATTTCCATGTGAAACATCTCCAGTATAGGGATAAAAGAAAATCTTCCTGCCAAGTCTTTAGGTCAATGGAATATCATGCACATTTTGATGACAAATAAGGAGATTGGGCAACAAAATGATTCATTCAAAAGTTTTACAAAATTAAGGATCTAGGTATTTCATAATTTATTTTGTTCCCTTTCTTTCTTTCCTTTTTTGTCATATTTTTTGGTGTTATTGCTATTGTTAATGACTTATTGCTGATTAAATACATTGTATCTATGACTGTCTTAGCAATGAGCATCTGTACACGTTCATTTTTAAAAACACATACATGTACATGTAATATGGACAAGTTTGGCTACCGGTACTCAATTACAATGCTTTAGCTATAACAATCCTAACTCCTTAGTACGATTGTATTTCTTGTGCTCTTAAAGGTAATACAAAGTTTTGGTATGGCGTCATGAATTTGGTTCAAATGAACATATTGGAAGCAAATGCGATTCTAAAATGTTCAGTGATCGTTGACGCGGTTAAAATCGAGTCTGAAGTGATGAAATTGTATATAATAAACTCTTTATGTTGTATAGCTCCCTCTCAAGGTCATGATATTAATTTAGCTATAAAACATTGTTTCTTGACTACAATCAACCGATTTGCTATTACCGTTTGGAATTTATATATCACAACTACATATTCTGAAATTGTCATAATCGCAGCTACCATCGTATGGCAGTAGGCGCTCTTTGAAATTTATCAAAATTTACCGGGAGCACCGGTAAATTTTTATATTCAATTTTTCTCGAAAGCAGAAGTGTTTTAGGGGCTAAATCTTTTAGTACTTAGAATACATCCACAGGGGCATCTAAATATATCAAAATTGTAAAGAATCACTGTCCAGCCAATTTTCAAAATTTACCAAAACTTTGTAATACCTTTAATAGCTATCAGGTATGAACTATATACTACACACACAAATTGAAGCCTTTAATTTAACTCAGCTGTATGCTATATAACCTACTCAGAAATAAATAATTAACTATCGTGTGTAGTTTATAAATCTCACTAGTTTTTCTTTACATTGCTACATATCTATACCTGTATGAAGCAATGGAAAATAACCCACTACCTGTAGTATTACAAACACAATGTGCAGCAAATCACACTGAAATAATTACTGAGTTCAGTTCAAAGTTCAAATAGCACATACATGTAATCATACAATATACTAGTATAGAAGAAAATGAACAAGTAAAACTGTGATTTAATTGTGCTATTGCATGATAATGAAAGGACACATGCAGCTACTGTATTATACTTGAATATTTAACTTTTGTATCATAAAAATGTGCCTCATTTGAGAAAAGAGAAGATGATTACAAATTAATAAGAACAGAAAAGAAACTAAAGTAAAAGAACAGATATAGTATAATGCACCACAATGTTTATCTTTGGAATACCAAAATTGGAAACTAGACGAAAGAATAAGAACGGAGCTTTGACTGATAACTTCTTTCCAAACTATCACGTGAGAAGGAATAAAATGAGAATCAAGTAGGATCGATGGCGCTAGTGTAGTTCCGTATCCATTTTTTTAGCAGATTCATATCCATTCTTAGCAAAGGAATTTTATTCCAATTTTTTACTAATTTTAATCATAATCATATATTGCATTTTCCACCTGAATTTGGATCACATCCGACATCGGGAAGCCTCTGTTTGGGGCTTCGATGTCGACGTCGTCGCTCAGTATCGTCTCCGCGCTATAGCTTTGCAACTCAAACTGAAGCTATCAGTCTAAAATTATGCAAGCTTCGCGTATAGTTTATAACGCACATGCACGATACCATAAAGCATACACAAAGTTTGCATAATTTTAGACTGATAGCTTCAGTTTGAGTTGCAGAGCTATAGCGCGGAGACGGTAATAAGCGACGACGTCAACATCGAAGCCCTAAACGGAGGCTTCCCGAAGTCGGATGCGATCTAAATTCAGGTGGAAAATGCAATATATGATTATGATTAAAATCAGTAAAAAATTGGGCTAAATTTCCTTTGCTAAGAATCGATATTAAACTGCTAAAAAAAACGGATACGGAACTACACTAGCGCCGGATCGATTACTGATACATAAAGTTGAGAATAACATAAATTGTATTTAAAAAAACATAAGTTATACAAAAACAGAGTTGACAGAAATCCAATGAGGACACAAACAAGCATTGAATTTCTTGAATACATGTAAAAAGACAGATTGAAAAAGAAAATGAAGAAATGAATGACATATCTAGTAAGTGCTTAAAATGAACATGCAGGAATAGCATAACACGAAATGTACATGCAACATATTCTATTTTAACATTTTCAGTAAATTACAAGATATAAATAATGATATCTACACATTATGAAGTTCAACACAGAATAAATATACCAATTGTTTGCTGAATCAGCCACAATTAGATGTAAATCATGCAAGATAATAAAGAGAGGATAATGAAGAAAGAGAATAATGAAGGGTGCATTATGACATATTGCCATTACTCTCCAAGATCAAACATCATGCATATCAAAGAAGATAAATGATAGGCAGAGATAAGCATACCACAAGAAACAAAACAGCTGATAATATGAAAAGATAAACTCCATGAAAGTAAGACAACTGAAATAGCTTGATGAATGCCAGTAAGAAGTGATTCAATACATGTTGTAAAGGATTGGAGCCAAATCAAATATAAAATTCACTCATAAGCATGTACATGTATGTGAATGTACAGAGGATAGAGAGACATAGCAATGACAGCTTGGTGATGAGAAAACTGCTTTCCAATTGTGCTGATTTATCTGTTATTTCAGATAGCTGCAAAACTTGATTGGATTTTACAGGTCTGATCTACATGTAACTGTCCTATATAAGGATAATTAGATGGAAACATAATTAAAGGAAACCTCACCCAAACGAAAAAGTGTAGGTATGCTTAAAGATGAGTTTTATACCTGTACAATATTCCTAATGAAAATATACAAGAGATATATAAATAAAGATATTCTTTGCATGATATATTGTCTTTTACCATGACATATGAGCGCAGCGATTTTCTTCATGACATACCAGGTAAACTTTGACATGAGTCAAGCACCAAGCTCTAATTGAAAATTAATTCATAAAAACTCTTTTAATAAAAAATACTAAAATATACCAATTAACAAATCAATTTCATTTATGCAAAATATTCACCCCAAAGAGCACCAACTTATTTATGCAATTTGCGTTAATACAAAAGATAACGGCATGTGAATCAAATATTTCATCGCCACGCACATGTGGGAAGGAACATCCATAAATTTAAATACATTTACTTGATAAACTAAACAACTTTGCATAGAACATCACGTTATCAACAAAATGGAGATGCCCATGTCATGTTGAGAAACTTTACATTAAATGCCATGAATATATCTCTTTAATATTGATAGGCAAGAATACAATAAATCTCTCAGAATACCTAAAGTTATTTCTTGGGGGAGGTTTCCTTTATAAAGAATGCAAATGATGAAGAGACTATGAAAGAGAAGAAGAAGTTTCATTCTCACTGATTGTACAGATGGTGATGATGACCTGAATCTTGGAGACAGGAACTTTACTTGTTTCTGAATAGGGATATGAGAGTACAAGGTAACTTCAATATCAATACAAAATAAGTAACAATATCTGATTAAATTTCATTTTCAATACCACAATGGAACACAAATGTGAGTGAGCTGATTGCTTTATCTTGTCTTAAAGTGTTAATAACTACAAAAAACAAATTTGTATTATGTGGTCATTTTCCCAATATGTAAGCTTAATTTTTGGGGAAAAACAATGATTTATCAAAAGTCTTATTAGATTTGAGATACATTTACAGTACAAAGAGAACCTAAGGTTTAATTTTATAAGCATACAGAACACTGCATGGTTAGACCCCTGTTGAAATCTGCCTCTTTAGTATGAGATCCATCAACGGCCAAAAACATCAAAAAGCTGGAAATGATCCAACAAAGAATCGACACATCCAGCATATCATCAATGTTGCAGGAGCTGGGATGGACATCACTCCAACAGAGACTATAACACCTTCGTCTTGTGATGTTCTTCAAGATCTACAACCAGCTAGTTCCATTCAAATCTGAGGAACTCATCACTGAATCCACCAGACCAATACAACAAGAGCTGTTCACACACAAGGATATCTCATACCATAATCCAGGAGTAAGTAACATCAAAACTCCCTTCTTCCCCAGAACTGTGAAAACATGGAACACCCTCCCAGGCAAGGTTGTGACAGCCCCATCTGTCAAAGCCTTTTGTCTCCAACTCATGAGAGGCTGCAGCAGCAGGATCTTTAACAAAACTTACTAGATCGACCCTGGCACCGATGATTCACGAAATCCAGACTATGATGTCTCCATATCTAAACAGTATGTGCACTAAACAGAGGAAATTTGATATTGAATGTACTGTGTACAGCATGTACAAAGCCACCCCTTCATAAATAATTGATGGTACGTCAATGAAAGTCCATCCCATATAAATATACTCAGTGTTCCAGGTTTTCTGTTATCTGCCAAAAGAGTATTGTCTCTGTAATAATATGTTAATGCCCATCTGTCTTCTAGTAGACAAAATAAATCATTCAAGGAATGCATGTTCTGGTTGATTAATATCTTCATAAAAATCAAAAGGATGAAAGTCCAAACTGTACGATTGTGTTGCATGCCAACCCGAGAGAACAAGGTATCTGATCAATCATTAACAGAAAAGCAGATGCCTTTAAATGCAGCTGGAGGATCACAATTAATGTACGCAAATTATTTCACAAGAATGCAAAGTGCTTGTCTCCCTTACACCAGCCAACAGTAAACCTGGACAAAGTACCCATAGGATATATTTCCAATACTGGTGAATGCAGATGCCAAAAGTTTGAGCACAGTACACCGACTATAACTGTAATATATGTAAGGCTGCACATAGCAAGAGCATCATCATCTACCTTGGTAGAGATACACCGGCCATACTCATTTCTTCCAGGATGCAGAGAATCAACAAATCACCAGGTATTAGTCCCAATAGGTTGAGAAGCATCATGCAACTACACCATAACATGCCTGATGGAACTTCTACCAGTCTCGCCTCAACTATCAATCTTAAAAACTTGGATAGACCATACTAGCAACAAACCAAACATGACTTCACTGTAAGTAGCAACTCTCAATTTTTAGCTGATTGCATGTATACCTTTATAGTATTACAAACACTTGCAAATTAATGCATTCACAGAAAGCTTGGTATACTGCCATTATCTACTTATTTCGTTTAAAGAGGAAATGAAAGACTCTCTCAGTATTTATATTTTTTTAATATCTCGCTTTCTGTAAATATCATGAACTGAATTAATATCACTCATAATTGTGAATCTTGGAACAGTGCTGTCATAAAACAAACCTTTGCGAACAAAAGCAAATTAAAGAAAATTGGACATCTGTGTGCCTAACCTACATGTATAAAGCCATACAGAGTAAACATGTGTGAAAAGAACCAATGTTAAGAATAGCTCAAGCTGGATAAAAATTTCAGTAAAGCTTATGGACAATTCCATAAAAAATGTTCACTAGCCGAAAAATTCATAAATTAGCAATACCTCAGAAATAAGTGTTCCACTGAGGCAACGTTGGTATCAAACAAAAGAGCTGAATAAGCTCTTCACTTTGAGTGATATATAAAATCGAGAGAAGTAAGTTTATAGGCATGATTTTCTCTGGAAAATGTGTTATACACTACAAAAACTTACCACACTGCATTTAGCACAGAGCAGATCAGGCAAGAACCTAGAGTAAACCACGCTCTGCAAGCAACAAGCTATCCCTTCACCAATATTTGCCATCTCTAAATCTACTTTCAGGACTAAAGGATCTTAATATTTCCAGGATGCAACAACAATGACTTCGGCAGTGCTCGCCACCAATCAAATTCCAGATTCCCTAGAATAAAAATTCAACACCTTTCGCAAGTTTCACTGACAATCAAGGATTTCATTTCATATTGGAAGTAGGAGTGCACCTGCAGTCAGTTTCCTGTTATTTGTTGCTCTCATATTTGGATGTGAAGTAGGACCTTACAACGTGGTGAAATTTTTGCTTAACGTGATGATAAAACACCTGCCTGCTTCCCTGCTTGATGGATCACCGTTTAACATATATTTATAATTCAACTCTTTTTCTACCTCACACCTTTTACCTCACACCCCCCCCCCTCCCCCACCCAATGTTGAAATTTGTCACTTTCGCCTTTCTCTTCCTCCTCTTTTAAAAAAAAATCCTCGCTCAATGACTTTTCTCCTGTGTATTTGTGTATTCTTTTTTATCTATTTTCTGCTCTTTCCCTATATCCTCTTTTGCTCTCCCCTTTCCATTCTCTCTCTTACCACCTGTTATACCCTCGCTTTTCTCACATTTGTTCTCTCTTCCTTATGCTCTCTTTCAGAGTTCATCCACAGCATTTACCTTTTTCATTCTCCTCATGTACATGTGTATTCCATAATGTCCCCCCCCCCCACACTTCTCCTCTCTCTTTCCTGCATGCCTCCATACTCCCCTCACCTAGCTCAGGATATCAAATCCTAGATCCATCCCCTATTTCACTCTCTAATCAATACACTCACACTCCTACTGCTCTATTAAAGGGAGTGGGTCGTCAGTTTTCAGGTGCAGAAGGACATAATTCGCCGACACCAGATTTGGTGGAAATACAATTAATGTGATATACATAAGGCATTTAGGTCATAAAACTAAAGGCTAATCCTGGTGATTGACAACGCCTGTTATTGGGTAAACACCTGAACGATGTCTAATTCCCCATGAGAGCCGACTACTATGCATCTTTATACTAGGACATTCTCCGCTGTGCACTGTTCCCAGAAACATGTACATGCAGTGGACATGTATCCAAGGAGAGAGAATATTCTTTCTCTGTAAAGGCCTTCCATATTTTCCTATTAAAAACCTTGGAAGGTCCAGACCATGCAGGGATCTCATGATGAATATCAACTGCCATGGTGCGGGCAGGGTGATGGGTACAAGCAGCCGATGTCCAGCAACACGTATGAATTGGAGGGCATGAGCCAATTTCAATGATGAAGCCCTTCTTTATCTAACGAACTTCACAACTTCTCAAGGCCAACTTGAAGTGCAACTGAATCATAGGCAAGACGATTTTCATGATGAACTCTTCTTTATCTAACAGACTTCCCAAATTTTTGATGCCCATACTTGAAGAATTTTGAAGCTCAAATGAATCAGAGGTGAGTCAAGTTTCATAATGAAACCCTTTTTTTAAACAAACATTGGAACTGCTTTAAGCTGTCTTGAAGAATTTGAAAATGAATCGTAGGTGGATCGAGTTCATGATGAAACCGTTTCCTCGTCTAACGATGATCACACTTGTGTCAGACCGTTCTAAAGACTTGCGGAACTCATGTTGATTGAATGTAAGTCAATCAACATAAATCACTTCTTTGTGTAACAATGATTGCACCTACCTTGGGCCGTCCTTCAGAAATGACAGATTAAAGTTTTCTTAATCATGCATTACACATACTTATATCCTGCAGTTTCTGCCACTTCACTATACTTTTCTACCCCATGCTGGAGATAGCCTGGAGCTATGTCAAGACAGAAGCGTTATGGTTACACAAAAATTTCCTATATTGCTTCCTCTCACGTACATGAATGGCACCCATCCAAGATAAGGTTTCTGCTCCTAGCAAATCAGAGCCTAGATCTATAAGACCTTAGTGCTAGGAGCATGATACATATCACATTAATGGTTGGTCCTACCTTATCAGAGAGCTCCCTGTTCTCCTTGCCCAATAGGTCCATGGATCCCATCCATTCCTTGTGTTTCTGCTCCTTACTGATCATAGCCTGGAGCTCATGTGCTAGTACATCCCGATCCTTCTTCAGTCCGTCTACCAGATGCTCCAGCTCTCCTATGGTCTCCCTATGACGCTCCACCTCCTTACCCAGGATACTCTGCTCCACCTGAAGCTGATCCTCATACTTGTCCTTCTCAAAGCTAGAATCACTTAAAATCTGATGAAAAATAAAAATAAATTCCCCTTATAAATATCCTTTCTTTTAATTGCCATACAAAAGTAACCTTTAAAATATTTGTTATAACATTAAATTATCACAGGTAAAAGTGGGAATAGTTCTAAATACTTTATGGCGAAATCAGTAGATAGGCCCCTCATTTAGAGAATATTTGTTCCTTTAATTTCACTCTGCCTCACATATGCTACTAACCAAGGGTATTTTTCTGAAATCTGTCTCATATCTTCCTTTTAGTTATTAATTTTAATAGTTAAATGAAAAATCTTAATTATGAAAAGACACTGGTTAATTCTAAACACAGTTGCCTGGATACATGCTGATCCAATGACACCTGTGAAAACACCAATAACTTATATTCATTCTCAGCATTTGGTATGAAAACAGATTTACTTATTTGAATATATATTTATTTGGTATCATTTCAAAAGGGTAGCCCCATCAGTAGTTAGAATACTGTTATACATGGGGGCCCTGCATAATATTAAAAATATTGAAGACATACATATACATATCAGGATGGTTTTCCAGGAAATTTAAACAAAAACGAACAAGAATTTAAATCAATATGACCTACATTTAGGAATCGTAGTGAACAACTATTTTTCTTTACTAATTACTACTTCAAACACTACCGCTATCATTAGGTTGCATACACGGTGGATTATGGACAATTAATGAAGTAAAAAGGGAAAATTACATCCAATATTACATGTGTATATTTATCCAGAAATTATATGTGAGAAACAAAATGTAATTCAAGGGAACTTCCTTCAGAATCTTCCAAGCAAACAAAATATATAAGTACAAAAACTGGCATTGTCTGTGTTAATAAAACTAAACAATAGTATTTGAATATCCAATATATCTAAAATATATGGGATACTTAGAATACAATAGTTCCTCACTTTAAGTGTCAAACATTAGATTTGTGACATAAGCATGATCGGAAAAAAAAGGATGATCTTGCTCACTCACATGAAATACAATAAAATATGTATAATGAGAATATGAAAGTACTAATAAGTAGTCAACACTTGTTTACAGATTCACACCCTGCTCAATGAATTCTATTAAACTACTGTATTTGCCGGCGTAAAGGCCGCAGTATTTTTGGAAGAGAAAATATCAAAAAGTCGGGGTGCGGCGTATACGCCGAAACAGTAAAAATCGCAAGTCAAAACAGCACGTCCATTATTTGCAGGCAACTTCATACAAAAAAATATATATTAAAAAAATTGACTTGAAAACACATCGGACAAGATCTAGTCTGAACCACGTCAGCAGCAAATTTGAAGAAGTTATCTTTTTAATCGTTGTGCAACCAAAGAAATAAGAAGAAAACTGACCAGAAACTCGTACTAAAAATCGTACTTGTAAAAATGTCCTTGGCTTAGACAGCGCATGGCCCGGTAACCAAAATCATACTTCGCTCACACACTCTGTGGTGGGGAGCTACCGGGCTGGGAGTTGCAACAAATCCAACGCAGCTTCGGAGATTCGCGCAATTGTCGGTGTTCTTAACTTTTCAGTAAGATAATTCTGAATTATAATTGAGACTATCTAATTAATTAAAGCGACAAACTAACCTCGGTAGATCTCTAATAACAATACAAAAGCTTGTTTATTTTCTCCATTTGGCGGTACGATAGGGGTAAGACCGGATAACATTATGGCCACAGCTTGGTTATGGCAGGCCATTCATGTTTCTGTATGCATGCAAAGCGCCCTCTAGTGTCCAATGAATGTGCTATAATCTGCCTAAAAATCGATGAAGATTTGCTAAATTACGATCATTTTTTAGGTAAGCTTCCTGTAAATTTATAAAATGATTGATAATTTTGGTATTAGTTTGTACGAAAAATAGAGTTCTACGAGAAAATTATGATTATTTTCTTTGGTCCGTTTTTTTTTTTTTCTCTCTACGAAATGTCAAAGTTGGGGGTGCGGCCTATGCGGCGGTGCGGCCTTTACGCCGGCAAATACGGTAAATATATACTATCATAAATATCATATTCCAAAAAATGTTGATTTTAATTAATCCATATATATTTGTTCAAAACCTACCCTCTTGTTTTCTGCTTGTAGCTTGAAAATATCCAGTTGGCTATTGGAGAGCAGTGTTTTGGAGCCGTCCAGTTCATGGCTCAGGATGTCCAACTGCAGGAATACAAAATGATGATCAAGTCCTGGGTCCAACTGATCATACAGTCAGGTAGGCCTATATCCAATTGATCTTTACTTATTGGTCCTAATTCCAGGGGTGATAGATAGTGAGCACTATAAAAAAAATAGTTTTTTTTTTCCTCAACCACCCCCTCCCCCCCCCCCCCCTTGAGTAAAAAAAAAAGGATTCAGGAAAAAAATAGCATCTAACAACATTCCCCCATTTTGAGTAAGAAAATTGGGAAAATTAAGGAAAATAAGGGAAAAATTGGGAAAATAGCAGTAAAATCTGGAGGAAAATAAAATAAATCAGGAAACTGATTTAAATCGGGTAATTATCAGGCCTGTATAAATTCCCATTAGTCATGAATCCGTTGGTTTTCTTTCTCATATTTCATATTTATCCCATTGTATCTGTATTATCATTACTTATACCACGCTTTTCCCAAAAGGCCCAAAGCGCTTACAGTAAATGAAAATTTAAATTACATAAATACATGTAATAAGAAAAACAGTCTTACAACTACAAACTGCAAAAAAGATGAAAACCAATGAAAACCTAATCAGAACCACAACCCTACAACACTGGGAAAATGTAGTCCTTAGTGGTTCTAAAGATAGCGCAATATTAACAACGCTAATACAGCCCTATATTGATGCTTAAGGATGTTCCGCAGTAATGTTTGTGTACACCTCAGCTGCACAGCTACATGTAGGGCTAACTGATCATGTATTTAATATGCACTATACCTGGAACTCCAGGTACAAAGTGCACAATGTATAGCCAGCTGGCCCTGCGCAGCTAGGGTGGGCACGAGCATTCATGCAGAAAATCATTCTCAGTCTCGCACCCTCTTAATAGATTCATGTTCCCAATTTCAACCCTCCTACTTGAGGCAAATCAAACTCCACACTCGAACATGATGTAAAAATTAGTTTGGACGTCCTTGATCAAAACAGTTACTTTGTCTTATCATACCCCATCACCCTGTGCTTCACTCGCCACTTATTGTGCAGTGTAAAATCAAACCACTATCTCACAAGACTGAGTCCCGGATACCACATTTGTCCATAGCAAGTAATGAAGACAGTGATGTCTTACCTTGAAAATCTTATCTCTTCCTTTAAATCCAATATCTAAAAATTTCTTTAACAAAAAAAAGACCGAAAGAGACACTTGGAAGAAATTCAATTTTGTATCATGTGTTGTGCAAGGAAAAGAAAACCTCCTGCATATCGAGTTGCCCAGATATTGCAAGATATTAAAGTAAGTTGCCATGTGTCTCATCTTATCCTACCTTCCCATTATCTACACTACCAAGAAGTTAATTGCAATTTAATCCGCTAAATGGACAATTTACCACATACCTAAAAACGTTGTTTGTATCTTTCCCCTCTTTTTTTGGTTTGTGACTTTGAAGGAGTTTGATTGTCTTCTCCTGTATATTTTATGAATGTTATAACAAAACAAATTTCTGTTCATATAGACAATAAATACATTGAGATTAATTGATTTTTACTGAGTTCACTTGAATTGAATTATGATACATTCCATAATAAAATAGGAGGAACCTTTTTTTGTCTGCATATTCAGAAAGCCCCTCCATCACTTTGGCATTGGTTATTCTAAAATAGATTTAATGATATTTGGCGTCAGTTTTAAGATGAGCCGACAACACACTGTCTATAAAGAATTAAGCATCTGTTCCTACCTTGTTATTGAGCTGTTTCTCATTGTCACGATACCTCTTGACAACCAGCTCCCATTTCTCCTCGGTGGTTGAGAGCTTCCTCTCTAGTTCCCTGCACTTCATCTTCTCACTCTCGAGGGATATCATGGTCTCTTCAAGGCGACTCACACACGTCTTGTTCTGCTTCTGAAGTCTCTTAATCTCTTCCTGCAGATTAAAGGAGCTTAGATCTCCAGTAGACGTTGGCTCCTACAAAAGTATGTGGAAAATAGCATGGATAACATGGAGCCTTTCCATCTTCTTCTGGAGCAAGAGAGAGATTGAATTTCTAAAATGTATTATAAACAAGACAAATGCGACTGCGTCTCCAATATGTCTCAATCGAAACTCAGTTAAAATCATGGCTTGAATTATTCTTAAAATATCACAATGAGAACAAAAAGCCTAGATAATTACATGTCAATTGATCTGTATGACCTATGACTTGAAAATAACTGTCAATAAGACTGTTGATCTTTTAAAAAAACTTAGCCAAAGTAAACATTTCAAGCTTCTCCCAACAATAATAAACATGTAATTGACTTACTGGTTTTGTCACTGTTTGTTTTTCATGGGCTTTGAATTCCTGCACATCCTTCCTCAGTAGTTCAAACTTCTGTTCCAAAGATTTCTTCTCAACATTCAATGCTTCCTTCTCCTCCTGTACAGCAAAGTAAAAGGAAAATCATGCAAGTTTTGCCGTTGTCAGCTACATTCAAAATTCTTCTCGGCTTACCACGAGGGTAGGGGGGTATTCTAGTACTAGTTATAATTTAACCATCCAACTTTTCTGTTAAAGACCCTGTCGGAAGACAAAAAATGAAATAGATGTATCATACATGTAGATCAACGGCACGCTTAAAAGCCATAGATTACAATAATATCCACTATATACTATCTTAGTGTTTGTCAGAGGAGTAACAGCTCTCTGAAAACTTGAAATCTAAAGCTTTGAAAATTGGCAGTTGCTGACTTAAAAACTAGCTATCAGACTTGTATGTATTTATCAAGTTTAGATGGTCAATTTTTAAGCAGAATGAAACTTCAAATATTCAAGATAAGATATTTCTTTACCATTTCCTTCCAGTTCATACTACTGAAGCTATTTATAGCGTCATTTTAGATCATTTTTCAACCCATTTATGCTGCATATTATGTAAATGTAGCTCTGTCGGTTTGTTACGGGAATGTTTTGTGAGAAGTTCCCTGCTTTATATAATACATACAGGTTACATTGCTTGTTTTGGCAGCCTGTTGTGGTATCAAAGTTGGTCAAGATTATTATCAAATTGTTAGAAATCACTAAATTAGTCATAAACAAAACAGTTCTATACCATTGAGTTACATGCATGACAGTGTTAGGGACAATACAAAAAGGGAGGCACTTGTTCATGGTGAGGGCACACATGTGAATTTGATGAAAAACTTACAAATCTATATTACTCAATGACTATATTTCTTGATGAAAGATACATGTACATGAACCAATTATTTCTTTTCCTTTTAGAAGAGCATAAATGGGAAAATTAATATGTGTATAACAAGCACATTGTGTCTTTCTTAACACACACACTATACAGTCAAAATCTTATGAATTTGTTATGAAAATAGATGCACATGACTTGTATATACATCTTTAGGCTACCAATTGTTTTTCATAAGAGTTTTTTTCTTTCTGGTACATAAAATCAAGCATTTCATTTTGCATGATATCGTGTATAGTTCTCCTGTAACTCAAGCTGTGACTGTCATTTCTCAAACTGTGATGGTTTAATATCAAAGGGTACTATTCACCTATAACTATTTTGCTCTGTAATTTAGGGTGCCCTCCTGCCATTCTCTATATATTAAAATTAAGAGCTTCTCAGTTTAATTTCATAAAGATATATTTAAGTTGAAATACATTCTCTATGAATGTAAACATGACTTGTGCATAGACTATAGTCAATGCATCCATATACACTCACATGCATGATTTTCATTCTATTCTTCATAGTCCAATTAAAGAATGGCAGTTTAAGTTTTGGGTTGTGTAATTATATTTCTCAAGAGTCTGGTCCCCTTTAAGCCACAGTGATTTCAATTATCAAGATCGTTATGAAGCCTTATTGATTGATTTTCAAGAACACATCTGTACACTACATGTTGTCCAGCACTATAGCTATCATTCCTGTTCAAAAATACGGCGCTTAATTAAAATGTGTCATAAAATATGCTTCATTACCTCGATCGTGGAGATGGTTTTGCGATTTGTATCCAACAGGTGTTTTAACTTGATGATTGTGCCTTCATAGGATGATCGCCGTTTCCTCTCAGTATCCAAGCTCTCTGTGAGCTCCTTCACCTGGATGGGCAAACACATGGAAAGATGGGAAGATGAAATACATTGGAAAAGAGAGGTAGTAGAAAAGAGATAGGGAAAGGGGGAGGAAGCAAGAGAGGAAGAGAGAGAGAGAGAGGGGGGGGGGGGGGAGAGGGAGAGAGAGAGAGAGGGGGAGAGGGAGGGAGAGAGAGCGAAAGAGAGAGAGAGAGAGAGAGCAAGGAGAGAGAAAGAGAAAAGGGAGAGACAGAGAGATGGAAGAGAGAGAGAGAGAGAGAGAGAGATTGGGGAGATAGTATTTTGGTGGATAACGTTTGGCCAAGCTTTTGTTCAGTTATATATATAGTTACAATCCTGTAGCACAGGATTCTCTTAATATCCCATACCTGTACATGGCAGGCGGTCAATTTATACCAGAGATTTTGAGATTTTCTACATTTCTTTTTTATCTTTGGCCTGTACGCGGCATATGGTTTGTAAGACATGTTCCATAAATCATAAAATTAAATTGTGTTAGCTCAACTCCAAATATTTATTTTTCCTGTAGAATATAAAAGAGCTTGGGAGTATATATCTGGGCTACAAGACTGCCATGCTGAATTTACCATCCATGTGTTAATCACACACGTGTCAACTGCATAATCTTCTATTGTGTCTTGTCAAACAGGTATAGATTGCCATTTGCATTTGGGACTTTTACATACATTCTAGGCCCATTTACACAGCCCAACGCCATTTAGAAAAATCATTGAATTTTGGACTGCCATTTACGATACAGGAAAAACCCATTAAAAACATCAGTGTTTGCTCGATCCAATCTGTTTGGGAAGTACATGTAAAATAATGCTTATATGTGTGACCTAATTGTTGCAATCACACGGAAGCAAGGAGATCAAGTCACATGACCAAAAGCAGGAATCATTTACCATTAATGTTTTGAGATCGCGGACATATATATATATATATATATACTGCAAAAAAATTGTTAAAGTCTCTGCTGGCATTTAACAAAAAGCACACTCCAGAGGTGGATTTTTCTGTTTCATTTTTTTGGTCAAAACATTGGAATGTGAGAAAAATCAATGACTTTTGCTTGCTATATAAATGCAGCTCCTGTCAGTATTTTTTGCTGCATTTAATTAGAGAGAAAAACAAGCCTACAAAAATGTTATCTCTATGCAGTCATGACAAAGAAAGAATCACCTTTGAGAATATTCATTTTAAAGCAGCAGTATATTTTTTCTCTGAATATAGTGACCTTAATGGTCCAATACGAATTGTACTACCGGTATATGATTTACAACATGAAGATAATCAATTTAGGAGGAAAGAATATCTCTTTCGACTACCACACAAAAAGAATATATGCCTCACAATTACATTGTGTGTATAGAAGAAAAAAATCCATGGTTTCATATGATGCAGTCTGTATGGAAAGTAAATTGAATACAAACTAGTGGTTTCTGAATCAGCATTCTAAAGTCAATGATAAAATTCAATTGATCGATCAATTTGTCATCAGATCAAACAATTCTGACACACATGTCAGTCCTAAATGTATATAGTGAACATGATAGTAGATGCTTGCATAACATAATTTGTCATTTAAATCAAATATAGACAGTATCTCCCATGATACACTAAATTGCTCCATCAACATCTTAATGAAGGTGTCAAATTTGTACATACCACTTCTGGAAAACTGAGTTACATGTACGAGGAGATTAAATGTCCAAATCACATAATGAGCTATTCTAACCATTTATGCCACCACTATGTTGTACCATGCAGCCTGTGAGCTCCATCAAAATGAATCTATATGCATGTACCGTACATGTATCTAAAAGAGCATGAATAGGAAGTCCATCACTATAATGGTAGAAGTCAACTGTGATATTGATTTCTGACTCAAATGAAGTGTAGCGAATAACAATGTCAACGGACGCTCATACTGCATCAAGACCTGTGGTGGGACCGCAGCCAAGCCAGCCATAACACATAACAATGCCAGTGGAGGTTTCATTGTCTGATTTCAAGCACAAACTTCAAAGAATTCTCCTTAATCTTCTTTTGATTTGCCCATGCATTGATTATATACACTTATCAGATTCCTGAGCAATTTAAATTGTCATTAAAGGCCCACTGCACTACTGGTAGCTACTTGCGCCCTCTATGTAACAAACAATGCCTAATCGGTGACCATTGGTCCCCCATGATCCTCTTTTTCTTATGTTAACTGAGAGCTGAGTTGATGAGATAACCACCTGTCCAGTGACCTTGCAGGGCAGTCTAATCCCTCCTGTAAACTACGGCAGATAAGCTTTAAGTTTAGTTGAGAAAAACACATGTCATTCTGAGTGATTTAAATTATTAATAAACAAATGTTATTGGCTGGAACTGGTACAAAACTTCTGGTTACATGTACTTGATTCAAAGCACATTACAATAAAATCAAATATTAATTTTGTGGACACTTCAAATATGCATATGCTTACAAAAATAATTATTCTAATTAACACAAATATACTGTGGTCTAACTATTGGATACACACATGCATATACTCACTTGTGAATGTAAAAGATATAAACTAATTCCTCTCTCCAAAATACCAAACTAGCTGTTGCATTTCTCTGGAGTACTCCAATTACAAATCCAATTTGATGACATATGTGTAGTTATACTGTTCTGACTACGCACCAGCATTGCAAACCAAATACAGTCTTATACCAAACAGTACTAAAGAACTGCCCTAACATTCTTGTAGATAGACTTTAGACCCAATGAGACATACTGTAGATTTACTGGTAACCCAACAAGTGGGTCTAAACTCTATTCAAGTCCAAGAAGACGAAAAAGTCCAACAAACACAAGGAGAGTTTTGTGCTATTAAAAACACAATAGCAAACAAATCCAGGGCAGTCAGGCCTATCTAATATGGCTAGACCCTTGTAAGATTTCATTGAATTACAGACTGAGAAACTGAGAAGCTGCAATCTTTATCCCCTGAGTCTAACTGTTTAGACATGAAAGGGCTGGTTCAAACAAGCTAGATTACACATCTGGTTGTCCTGACAATAAAGCTTCCAATTCATCTTAGGGCCCTTGTACGGTATTCTATCCTCAGAATAAGAAAGTATTTGAAATCTAGCTGCCTCGATCTCTCTAATCAAGCATTTGGAATACTGCATTTACACAGTGACCAGATTTGACAAGCAAGCAGAGTCGAACACTGCAATTTTACGATGGGCATTAATTGTCATATTTTTCTATTTTCTCTTGGGGTCGGTAACAAATTTCTTGTTGGTATACATATATGTTGTTTCCAATTTATTTAAAAAATAGGTATTATTATCAAAGTCACCGGTGCTGATCTTTGTTGGAATCCAAACAGATCATTGTTTGAACCACAGAATAACAATTTCAGATGCACAGAGCAATCGCAAACCATTTGTGTAGGGTTAATCTCTGACATGATAATTCAAGTCTTATTTACGTCTAAAAAAAATCATATCAAACGTGCCATTCTTGTGAGAGGTATTAACATTATATAGCTCTTGTGCACAGAAAAGATGTGCACAACTCACAAAGCAAACTGCTGACACTGCATTAGTTGCTACTAGGAATAAAAATCTGGTGACCCTCTTTAAATAAAATTGTGGCACAACAATCTATACACCTCAAGGATGAAATAAGGAAAACCAGGAGCAAAAGAGCCTATTATTATTCAACACTTTGGTTAAATAATGGCATCTAGATCCATGTTTATACAGTGTAAGGAGATAGGCCAATATAGATTAGTCATAAACACCCCAAACACATTTTCACATGATTTTTATATATTTGGCTTACTTTAATACACTTTTAGTTGTTCACAAGTAAATAGGTTGACTTTTATTTAACACTTATTATAAAACAAATTACAAAAGTAATATTTAAAAAGGATCTCAAGAAGCTTCTCAACATGTCAAAAACTCTTTAAAACCTACAAACCATGAGGCTATAATATAAGTATGACTTCTTACCCTCCTTATACCCACCTTTTTTTTTTTCTCTCTCTCTCCTTTATCTGTCTAACATTGTAAAATAATGACTAAAATGCATTTCTCTATTAGAACTATTATAAATCGTCAGAGTATTAAATACATTGTTTTTCCCTACACTAGAAAGGCCTTCGACTACTGCTCCTTCAATGCAAAAACCATTGAAGAGTTGTGCATACAATTTGAATCAAGTGGTCTTTCTTTACGATCAAAACGGGGCAATCATCGACTTAAGGACCTTGCCTTTACTATCTGACGCTTAGGAGTAACGACGTAAGTTTTGTTATGGCCCCAAACTTTGCATCAGGTTTCTTTGCAATTTATACTTGGTACATACCTGTGCTTCCATTCTTCTGACAACAGAGGAGAAATTGCTCTAAAAGTGTTATTCTCAATATTTCAAGCAAAAAGATTGATAGACATGGGAGTACAGAATTGCAGACACAAAACATTCCCACCGTTGATCTAATATGATCAAGCCATAAATGAACAATAAAATATTTCTAATGTGCTCTGCAGGGGGTAGAGCATTTTGAAAAGAAATATCTTGCTCTTTCTCTCTCTCTCTCTCTCTCTCTCTCTCTCAGGTGTTCTGCCAAAGGCAGGTCCACACAGCAGAGCCTTCTTTAGTTCCTTCTTCATCCCTCTCTATCTTTAGCCTTCTCCTTCATAATGTTCCTCTAGTATAAAGTCTGACACTATCCCAAATCTTGGTTTTCCTTTTCTGTTTTCCATCTATCTTCCCTTCTAATTTGTCCCTGAGCAAGTTATCCCTCATAAGATGTGTCCTATCCAGTTTTTCTTCCATTTCCAAATTGTTTTTCCCAAGCTCCTTTGCATTCACACTATCCAGCACTTCTTCATTGGTGACCCTGTCCGGCCTCCAACTAATATTCCTTCCATTCTTATCCACAGCCACAGAGTTTCTATCTGGCTATCATTCAATTAATTAGAACAAATTTTTCTCCTTTTGGCATTAATTG